TTAAAGGGTTATTCCGCATTTTTGGCCGATCCGCACACATTGGAATTTCGCTAACTCCTCCGAAGGCTTTCGTTCCACCGGCACCACATTTGCTCAGGCCAATCTACACCCCATGGCCATTAAAAGTTATTCAAATCATGATGCTGCACCCCACAGTTTAGGTTCTAGGGGGCGCCAAAGATAACCCTAAAATCCACATATTTAAAAGTCTTATAACTTTTTATTTTTGCCCTCACTGGCCTCCAAGTTTTCTAGGATGATGCAATGTCCAGCCATCAACACATTTGTGAAGGAATTTTTAATCCCCAAAAGAGCGCCCCCCCATGGCAGGAGAAAAAAGTCCGTTTTTTCTTGTCCCCTAAGGTGAAAATACACATTGTTGAGTGTCACGCCTGTACGCTTTGTCATATTGACACAAAATTTGACACACACATGTATCTCAATAAGATCTACGAAAAAGTCAATGCGCGCGTATCTGTCAAATGTACGGTTAAAGGGTTATTCCGCATTTTTTGCTGATCCGCACACATTGGAATTTCGCTAACTCCTCCTAAGGCTGGCGTTCCACCGGCACCACATTTGCTCAGGCCAATCTACACCCCATGGCCATTAAAAGTTATTCAAATCATGACGCTGCACCCCACGGTTTAGGTTCTAGGGGGCGCCAAAGATAACCCTAAAATCCACATATTTCAAAGTCTTATAACTTTTTATTTTTGTCCTCACTGGCCTCCAAGTTTTCTAGGATGATGCAATGTCCAGCCATCAACACATTTGTGAAGGAATTTTTACTCCCCAAAAGAGCGCCCCCCCATGGCAGGAGAAAAAAGTCCATTTTTTCTTGTCCCATAAGGTGAAAAAACACATTGTTGACTGTCATACCTGTACGCTTTGTCATATTGACACAAAATTTGACAATCACATGTATCTCAATAAGATCTACGAAAAAGTCAATGCGCGCGTATCTGTAAAATGTACGGTTAAAGGGCTATTTTGCATTTTTTGCCGATTCGCACACATTGGAATGTGGCTAACTCCTCCTAAGGCTTTCGTCCCACTGACACCAAATTTGCTCAGGCCAATCTACACCCCATGGCCATTCAAAGTTGTAAAAATCATGACGCTGCACCCCACGGTTTACGTTCTAGGGGGCGCCAAAGATGACCCAAATATCCACATTCTTAAAAGAATCCACATCCCCCCCCCCCCAACCCCCATGGCAGGAGAAACAGTCAAGTTTTTCCTGCCCATCACTCAATGGCTCAATCGCATCACTCTCCCGGCAACACCGTAACGAGGAGCAACCTGCCATTTGGATATATCCTAGCTGTGTTTGTGCCCTCACTCATGGTCCAGACTTTTTTCAAATAGGACATGAAGTTTGTCTGCAGCGAGTGTTTTGGTAGAAACTGCGCCTCCCATTCATCATAATGGGAAATGACCACAGACAAGTGCGCACACCATCTTTGGACCTTGAGTGTGACGCGATCGGGAGGGGGAGGCGGTCGCGCTGGGGGCGGCGCGACGCGGCTCGGGCCCGACAGTGCCCCACCGGGGTCCTAGTTCTTTGTTTCTTTCTTTCTTTTTTCTTTTTCCTCCCCTTTGAACTGGAAAATGGCCCACTTCCCACTGGCGAAAACTCATGAAATTTGGCAGGACGACCGGGCCTGGTGAAAAATTCGATATTCTGAAGTCGCCCAAACATTAAAATGCAAAATGGCTCCATAGCGCCCCCTAAGGTGGAAATTCACACTATTGACTGTCACGCCTGTACGCTTTGTCATATTGACACAAAAATTGACACACACATGTATCTCAATAAGATCTACAAAAAAGTCAGTGCGGCCGTATCTGTCAAAATTACGGCTAAAGGGTTATTTCGCATTTTTTGCCGATCCGCACACATTGGAATTTCGCTAACTCCTCCGAAGGCTTTCGTTCCACCGGCACCACATTTGCTCAGGCCAATCTACACCCCGTGGCCATTAAAAGTTATCAAAATCATGACGCTGCACCCCAAGGTTTAGGTTCTAGGGGGCGCCAAAGATAACACTAAAATCCACATATTTAAAAGTCTTATAACTTTTTATTTTTGTCCTCACTGGCCTCCAAGTTTTCTAGGATGATGCAATGGCCAGCCATCAACACATTTGTGAAGGAATTTTTACTCCCCAAAAGAGCGCCCCCCCATGGCAGGAGAAAAAAGTCCATTTTTTCTTGTCCCCTAAGGTGAAAATACACATTGTTGAGTGTCACGCCTATACGCTTTGTCAAAATGACACAAAAATTGACACACACATGTAACTCAATAAGATCTACAAAAAAGTCCATGCGCGCGTATCTGTCAAATGTACAGTTAAAGGGTTATTCCGCATTTTTTGCCGATACGCACACATTGGAATTTCGCTAACTCCTCCGAAGGCTTTCGTTCCACCGGCACCACATTTGCTCAGGCCAATCTACACCCCATGGCCATTAAAAGTTATTCAAATCATGATGCTGCACCCCATGGTTTAGGTTCTAGGGGGCGCCAAAAATAACCCAAAAATCCACATTCTTAAATGTTTTATAACTTTTTATTTTTGTCCTCACTGGCCTCCAAGTTTTCTAGGATGATGCAATGTCCAGCCATCAACACATTTGTGAAGGAATTTTTACTCCCCAAAAGAGCGCCCCCCCATGGCAGGAGAAAAAAGTCCATTTTTTCTTGTCCCCTTACATAAAAATACACATTGTTGAGTGTCACGCCTGAACGCTTTGTCATATTGACACAAAAATTGACAATCATGTGTATCTCAATTAGATCTACGAAAAAGTCAAAGAGCGCGTATCTGTATAATGTACGGTTAAAGGGCTATTTTGCATTTTTTGCCGATTCGCACACATTGGAATGTGGCTATCTCCTCCTAAGGCTTTCGTCCCACCGATACCAAATTTGCTCAGGGCAATCTACACCCCATGCCCATTCAAAGTTGTAAAAATCATGACGCTGCACCCCACGGTTTACGTTCTAGGGGGCGCCAAAGATGACCCAAAAATCCACATTCTTAAAAGTCATTTTGGCCACTGCAGGAGTACAGAGTACTGCAGTTCTAGGGGGCGCCAAAGATGACCCAAAAATCCACATTCTTAAAAGTCTTTTTGGCCACTGCAGGAGTACAGAGTACTGCAGGATACACACACATATACACACACGCCAACATACACACACACACACACACACACACACACACACTCAGAGTCTGTTTTTTAGCACCTGCAAAAACATGCTGTTTACATATTTGACAAGAATGCAGAGGCTTCCTTTTGCCCCTGAAAAAAATCAAATTTCAAACACAACTTGACTGTTCATTTCTCCAAAAGACAACCATGAAGCTCCATTTCAAACCTGAAGCAGATAGTTGGTGCATGTGTACAGTAACCTGAGGGGAGTGAGGTGACTATTTCTGAGGAGAACATGAGCAGTGAAGATTCACCTTGGAGCTAGAACAGGGACGTGCACATGATTATACAGGGGCAGGGGCTCAAGTTTTTTCCAGTCATTTATACAATATGGAAATTAATGTGAAATTAAACCACAAATATGTGTGATGAACTGTTTTTAAAACTTAAACTTCAAATAAAAATTGTAAACTTCAAAACATATGCAAATTTTTAACAAAGAACATAGTAATTTACCTCTATTTACATCAAAATGCAGGCAATGGCCCAGGCGTTCTTTGTAAAATTATTTACAAAACACTGTATAGTCTCACAAATGTCACTTTTTATTTATGCCACTACAAAAAAACATGATGTAAATGATGCATGATGTAAAACATGATGTAAAAAACTTGTGTAGATCCTCCTGTATGTCAGTCCATGTGTAATTTTTCCATAATTCTTTGTTTTTTGCAGCATTTTTGTTAGTGTAACTGCAGATTGTGCTGACAGTGTCTATGGCACAAAAAAAAAATAATTAAAATGCCTCAACATGAACCCCTGGTGGTCTCTGAGGGTGAAACCTGCTAACTGCTGCAGCTCTGTCAGCTTCAGTCTCCCATGCAGAGCTCTGAGTGCATGTGTGGCTCTGCACCCTTAGCAGCGTTGCTAACTCCTCAGTAAGGAAAGCCTGCTTCATGTCAGAGTCTCTAAACTCCAGAAGAAGTCGATAAAAGTCCCTTTCTTTCTAAAAAAAAGTCGTTAGGGGGTCTGAAAAGTAATTGAATCTAACAACAAAGTCGCTAGGTTTGCAACTACGTGTCCCAGACTGCATCCCTGCTGAGAGTCCCTCCCTCCCTTCTCATGTTGCAGGAAGAACGTAAGCGCCCGCCCCTTGTCAATCAGTCACCATATAATTTTGGATTGGTTGTTGTGGTGAAGTTTTCCACCAATAGGAGAGATGTTGTGGTGTGTTTTTTTTTTCCTTTGGCAAGCCTTTTCCGCCTGTAAGACCTGTCGCTAATGTCTGCATGCTATGTTTTCCTGTCTCATACAGCGCGATCGAGCGCCGAACGTGATCAAAATAAGCAGAAAAAAAGTATCGCGGACATAATTTATCATAACTCTGGTTTTATTTGGCCTATCAACACAATTTAAAAACTGGTATATAGGTTGAGGTCCTCACTTTTGAGATAAGTTGAAACGGAGAGTCAACGAGGCTCCGTCTTGCAGCTACATCCGGTTAAATATGTCATGTGATTTGAACGCACACATAGACACACACACACGCACACACACACACACACACACACACACACACACACACACACACACACACACTCAGAGTCTGGTTTTTAGCACCTGCAAAAACATGCTATTTACATATTTGACAAGAATGCAGAGGCTCCTTTTGCCCCTGAAAAAAATCAAATTTCAAACACAACTTGACTGGTCATTTCTCCAAAAGACAACCATGAAGCTCCATCCAAACCTGAAGCAGGCAGTTGGTGCATGTGTACAGTAACCTGAGGGGAGTGAGGTGAGTGCTTCTGAGGAGAACATGAGCAGTGAAGATTCACCTTGGAGCTAGAACAGAGACATGCACATGATTATACAGGGGCAGGGGCTCAAGTTTTTTCCAGTCGTTTATACAATATGGAAATTAATGTGAAATTAAAACACAAAGTATTAATAGAAAGGTAATGACTGTCCTGTGTAGGTGGCAGTGATATCCAATAGGCTAGGCACTCACGAGGCTGGCTGTGGCAAGTGTAAGTGAAAGCAACACGCACTGGCAGGAAGAACAGCAAACGCCGATGAAGGAAAAGGGTCTTTGCAGTGATGGGTGTTACCAGAGAGGGCGATGGCCAGAGGACACAAATGGGACGGGGAGGCAGCACGTTGGGGGGGGGGGGGGGGAGACGCGACACGGCTCGGGCCCGCCAGTGCCCCAACGGGGTCCTAGTTATTATTTTTCCTCCCCTTTAAACTGGAAAATGGCCCACTTCCCACTGGCGAAAACTCATGAAATTTGGCAGGACGACCGGGCCTGGTGAAAAATTCGATATTTTGTAGTCGCCCAAACAATAAAATGCAAAATGGCTCCATAGCGCCCCCTAAGGTGGAAATTCACACTATTGACTGTCACGTCTGTACGTTTTGTCATATTGACACAAAAATTGACACACATATGTATCTCAATAAGATCTACAAAAAAGTCAGTGCGGGCGTATCTGTCAAATGTACGGTTAAAGGGTTATTTCGCATTTTTTGCCGATCCGCACACATTGGAATTTCGCTAACTCCTCCGAAGGCTTTCGTTCCACCGGCACCACATTTGCTCAGGCCAGTCTACACCCCATGGCCATTAAAAGTTGTACAAATCATGACGCTGCACCCCACGGTTTAGGTTCTAGGGGGCGCCAAAGATAACCCAAAAATCCACATTCTTAAAAGTCTTATAACTTTTTATTTTTGTCCTCACTGCCCTCCAAGTTTTCTAGGATGATGCAATGTCCAGCCATCAACACATTTGTGAAGGAATTTTTACTCCCCAAAAGAGCGCCCCCCCATGGCAGGAGAAAAAAGTCAATTTTTTCTTGTCCCCTTACATGAAAATACACATTGTTGAGTGTCACGCCTGAACGCTATGTCATATTGACACAAAAATTGACACACATATGTATCTCAATAAGATCTACAAAAGAGTCGATTCGCGCGTATCTGTCAAATGTACGGTTAAAGGGCTATTTTGCATTTTTTGCCGATTCGCACACATTGGAATGTGGCTAACTCCTCCTAAGGCTTTCGTCCCACTGACACCAAATTTGCTCAGGCCAATCTACACCCCATGGCCATTCAAAGTTGTAAAAATCATGACGCTGCACCCCACGGTTTACGTTCTAGGGGGCGCCAAAGATGACCCAAAAATCCACATTCTTCAAAGAATCCACATCCCCCCCCCCCCCCCCCATATGGCAGGAGAAAAAGTTAAGTTTTTCCTGCCCATCGCTCAATGGCTCAATCGCATCGCTCTCCAGGCAACACCGTAAGGAGGAGCAACCTGCCATTTCGATATATCATAGCTGTGTTTGTGCCCTCACTCATGGTCCAGACTTTTTTCAAATAGGACATGAAGTTTGTCTGCAGCGAGTGTTTTGGTAGAAACTGCGCCTCCCATTCATTATAATAGGAAATGACCACAGACAAGTGCGCACACCATCTTTGGATCTTGAGTGTGACGCGATCGGGAGGGGGAGGCGGTCGCACTGGGGGCGGCGCGACACGGCTCGGGCCCGACAGTGCCCCAACGGGGTCCTAGTTAGGGCCCGAGCGTAGCTGCTAAGCAGCTGCGAGAGCCCTCTTGTTCCTGTAGTTTCCTTCTTTTGTTATTAGGGCCCGAGCGTAGCTGCTAAGCAGCTGCGAGAGCCCTCTTGTTCCTGATGGATTCTTCTTTTGTTATTATTAGGGCCCGAGCGTAGCTGCTAAGCAGCTGCGAGAGCCCTCTTGTTCCTGTAGTTTCCTTCTTTTGTTATTATTAGGGCCCGAGCCAGCTGCAGAGCAGCCGGGCGTAGGCCCTATTATTCCCCAAGTGGTTTTTTAGGGCCCGAGCGTAGCTGCTAAGCAGCTGCGAGAGCCCTATTATTCCCCAAGTGGTTTTTCTTTGTTTCTTTTTTCTTTTTCCTCCCCTTTGAACTGGAAAATGGCCCACTTCCCACTGGCGAAAACTCATGAAATTTGGCAGGACGACCGGGCCTGGTGAAAAATTCGATATTCTGAAGTCGCCCAAACAATAAAATGCAAAATGGCTCCATAGCGCCCCCTAAGGTGAAAATTCACATGACGGCTGTACGCTTTGTCATATTGACACAAAAATTGACACACATATGTATCTCAATAAGATCTACAAAAAAGTCAGTGCGGGCGTATTTGTCAAATGTACGGTTAAAGGGTTATTTCGCATTTTTTGCCGATCCGCACACATTGGAATTTCGCTAACTCCTCCGAAGGCTTTCGTTCCACCGGCACCACATTTGCTCAGGCCAATCTACACCCCATGGCCATTAAAAGTTATTCAAATCATGACGCTGCACCCCACGGTTTAGGTTCTAGGGGGCGCCAAAAATAACCCTAAAATCCACATATTTAAAAGTCTTATAACTTTTTATTTTTGTCCTCACTGGCCTCCAAGTTTTCTAGGATGATGCAATGTCCAGCCATCAACACATCTGTGAAGGAATTTTTACTCGCCAAAAGAGCGCCCCCCCATGGCAGGAGAAAAAAGTCCATTTTTTATTGTCCCCTAAGGTGAAAATACACATTGTAGAGTGTCACGCCTGTACGCTTTGGCAAAATGACACAAAAATTGACACACACATGTATCTCAATAAGATCTACAAAAAGTCCATGCGCGCGTATCTGTCAAATGTACGGTTAAAGGGTTATTCCGCATTTTTTGCCGATACGCACACATTGGAATTTCGCTAACTCCTCCGAAGGCTTTCGTTCCACCGGCACCACATTTGCTCAGGCCAATCTACACCCCATGGCCATTAAAAGTTATTCAAATCATGATGCTGCACCCCATGGTTTAGGTTCTAGGGGGCGCCAAAAATAACCCAAAAATCCACATTCTTAAATGTTTTATAACTTTTTTTTTTTGTCCTCACTGGCCTCCAAGTTTTCTAGGATGATGCAATGTCCAGCCATCAACACATTTGTGAAGGAATTTTTACTCCCCAAAAGAGCGCCCCCCCCATGGTAGGAGAAAAAAGTCAATTTTTTCTTGTCCCCTTACATGAAAATACACATTGTTGAGTGTCACGCCTGAACGCTATGTCATATTGACACAAAAATTGACAATCATGTGTATCTCAATTAGATCTACGAAAAAGTCAAAGAGCGCGTATCTGTATAATGTACGGTTAAAGGGCTATTTTGCATTTTTTGCCGATTCGCACACATTGGAATGTGGCTATCTCCTCCTAAGGCTTTCGTCCCACCGATACCAAATTTGCTCAGGGCAATCTACACCCCATGCCCATTCAAAGTTGTAAAAATCATGACGCTGCACCCCACGGTTTACGTTCTAGGGGGCGCCAAAGATGACCCAAAAATCCACATTCTTAAAAGTCATTTTGGCCACTGCAGGAGTACAGAGTACTGCAGTTCTAGGGGGCGCCAAAGATGACCCAAAAATCCACATTCTTAAAAGTCTTTTTGGCCACTGCAAGAGTACAGAGTACTGCAGGATACACACACATATACACACACGCCAACATACACACACACACACACACACATACACACACACACACACACACACACACACACTCAGAGTCTGTTTTTTAGCACCTGCAAAAACATGCTGTTTACATATTTGACAAGAATGCAGAGGCTTCCTTTTGCCCCTGAAAAAAATCAAATTTCAAACACAACTTGACTGTTCATTTCTCCAAAAGACAACCATGAAGCTCCATCCAAACCTGAAGCAGATAGTTGGTGCATGTGTACAGTAACCTGAGGGGAGTGAGGTGACTATTTCTGAGGAGAACATGAGCAGTGAAGATTCACCTTGGAGCTCGAACAGGGACGTGCACATGATTATACAGGGGCAGGGGCTCAAGTTTTTTCCAGTCATTTATACAATATGGAAATTAATGTGAAATTAAACCACAAATATGTGTGATGAACTGTTTTTAAAACTTAAACTTCAAATAAAAATTGTAAACTTCAAAACATATGCAAATTTTTAACAAAGAACATAGTGATTTACCTCTATTTACATCAAAATGCAGGCAATGGCCCAGGCGTTCTTTGTAAAATTATTTACAAAACACTGTATAGTCTCACAAATGTCACTTTTTATTTATGCCACTACAAAAAAACATGATGTAAATGATGCATGATGTAAAACATGATGTAAAAAACTTGTGTAGATCCTCCTCTATGTCAGTCCATGTGTAATTTTTCCATAATTCTTTGTTTTTTGCAGCATTTTTGTTAGTGTAGCTGCAGATTGTGCTGACAGTGTCTATGGCACAAAAAAAAAAAAAAATTAAAATGCCTCAACATGAACCCCTGGTGGTCTCTGAGGGTGAAACCTGCTAACTGCTGCAGCTCTGTCAGCTTCAGTCTCCCATGCAGAGCTCTGAGCGCATGTGTGGCTCTGCACCCTTAGCAGCGTTGCTAACTCCTCAGTAAGGAAAGCCTGCTTCATGTCAGAGTCTCTAAACTCCAGAAGAAGTCGATAAAAGTCCCTTTCTTTCTAAAAAAAAGTCGTTAGGGGGTCTGAAAAGTCATTGAATCTAACAACAAAGTCGCTAGGTTTGCAACTACGTGTCCCAGACTGCATCCCTGCTGAGAGTCCCTCCCTCCCTTCTCATGTTGCAGGAAGAACGTAAGCGCCCGCCCCTTGTCAATCAGTCACCATATAATTTTGGATTGGTTGTTGTGGTGAAGTTTTCCACCAATAGGAGAGATGTTGTGGTGTGTTTTTTTTTTCTTTTGGCAAGCCTTTTCCGCCTGTAAGACCTGTCGCTAATGTCTGCATGCTATGTTTTCCTGTCTCATACAGCGCGATCGAGCGCCGAACGTGATCAAAATAAGCAGAAAAAAAGTATCGCGGACATAATTTATCATAACTCTGGTTTTATTTGGCCTATCAACACAATTTAAAAACTGGTATATAGGTTGAGGTCCTCACTTTTGAGATAAGTTGAAACGGAGAGTCAACGAGGCTCCGTCTTGCAGCTACATCCGGTTAAATATGTCATGTGACTTGAACGCACACACAGACACACACACACACTCAGAGTCTGGTTTTTAGCACCTGCAAAAACATGCTATTTACATATTTGACAAGAATGCAGAGGCTCCTTTTGCCCCTGAAAAAAATCAAATTTCAAACACAACTTGACTGGTCATTTCTCCAAAAGACAACCATGAAGCTCCATCCAAACCTGAAGCAGGCAGTTGGTGCATGTGTACAGTAACCTGAGGGGAGTGAGGTGAGTGCTTCTGAGGAGAACATGAGCAGTGAAGATTCACCTTGGAGCTAGAACAGAGACAAGCACATGATTATACAGGGGCAGGGGCTCAAGTTTTTTCCAGTCGTTTATACAATATGGAAATTAATGTGAAATTAAAACACAAAGTATTAATAGAAAGGTAATGACTGTCCTGTGTAGGTGACAGTGATATCCAATAGGCTAGGCACTCACGAGGCTGGCTGTGGCAAGTGTAAGTGAAAGCAACACGCACTGGCAGGAAGAACAGCAAACGCCGATGAAGGAAAAGGGTCTTTGCAGTGATGGGCGTTACCAGAGAGGGCGATGGCCAGAGGACACAAATGGGACGGGAAGGCAGCACGTTGGGGGGGGGGGGATGCGACACGGCTCGGGCCCGCCAGTGCCCCAACGGGGCCCTAGTCTTTGTTTCTTTCTTTCTTTTTTCTTTTTCCTCCCCTTTGAACTGGAAAATGGCCCACTTCCCACTGGCGAAAACTCATGAAATTTGGCAGGACGACCGGGCCTGGTGAAAAATTTGATATTCTGAAGTCGCCAAAACAATAAAATGCAAAATGGCTCCATAGCGCCCCCTAAGGTGAAAATTCACACTATTCACTGTCACGACTGTACGCTTTGTCAAAATGACACAAAAATTGACACACACATGTATCTCAATAAGATCTACAAAAAAGTCAGTGCGGCCGTATCTGTCAAAATTACGGTTAAAGGGTTATTTCGCATTTTTTGCCGATCTGCACACATTGGAATTTCGCTAACTCCTCCGAAGGCTTTCGTTCCACCGGCATCACATTTGCTCAGGCCAATCTACACCCCGTGGCCATTAAAAGTTATCAAAATCATGACGCTGCACCCCAAGGTTTAGGTTCTAGGGGGCGCCAAAGATAACACTAAAATCCACATATTTAAAAGTCTTATAACTTTTTATTTTTGTCCTCACTGGCCTCCAAGTTTTCTAGGATGATGCAATGTCCAGCCATCAACACATTTGTGAAGGAATTTTTACTCCCCAAAAGAGCGCCCCCCCATGGCAGGAGAAAAAAGTCCATTTTTTCTTGTCCCCTAAGGTGAAAATACACATTGTTGAGTGTCACGCCTATACGCTTTGTCAAAATGACACAAAAATTGACACACACATGTAACTCAATAAGATCTACGAAAAAGTCAATGCGCGCGTATCTGTCAAATGTACGGTTAAAGGGTTATTCCGCATTTTTTGCCGATCCGCACACATTGGACTGTGGCTAACTCCTCCTAAGGCTTTCGTTCCACCGGCACCACATTTGCTCAGGCCAATCTACACCCCATGGCCATTAAAAGTTATTCAAATCATGACGCTGCACCCCACGGTTTAGGTTCTAGGGGGCGCCAAAGATAACCCTAAAATCCACATATTTCAAAGTCTTATAACTTTTTATTTTTGTCCTCACTGGCCTCCAAGTTTTCTAGGATGATGCAATGTCCAGCCATCAACACATTTGTGAAGGAATTTTTACTCCCCAAAAGAGCGCCCCCCCATGGCAGGAGAAAAAAGTCCATTTTTTCTTGTCCTCTAAGGTGAAAATACATATTGTTGAGATTCACGCCTATACGCTTTGTCATATTGACACAAAATTTGACAATCACGTGCCTTGCCTGGTATCATTTTTTTCAGCACAACCTCACCTGTGCGAATTTACAGTTATTTTATCATGTTGACATACTGAATTTACACAATGGACCCAAATTCACACACAAAACATAAAATCCGAGTGGAAAAAAGTAACATTTTTACTGTGAAAACCACAAATATGTGTGATGAACTGTTTTTAAAACTTAAACTTCAAATAAAAATTGTAAACTTCAAAACATATGCAAATTTTTAACAAAGAACATAGTGATTTACCTCTATTTACATCAAAATGCAGGCAATGGCCCAGGCGTTCTTTGTAAAATTATTTACAAAACACTGTATAGTCTCACAAATGTCACTTTTTATTTATGCCACTACAAAAAAACATGATGTAAATGATGCATGATGTAAAACATGATGTAAAAAACTTGTGTAGATCCTCCTGTATGTCAGTCCATGTGTAATTTTTCCATAATTCTTTGTTTTTTGCAGCATTTTTGTTAGTGTAACTGCAGATTGTGCTGACAGTGTCTATGGCACAAAAAAAAAAAAATTAAAATGCCTCAACATGAACCCCTGGTGGTCTCTGAGGGTGAAACCTGCTAACTGCTGCAGCTCTGTCAGCTTCAGTCTCCCATGCAGAGCTCTGAGCGTATGTGTGGCTCTGCACCCTTAGCAGCGTTGCTAACTCCTCAGTAAGGAAAGCCTACTTCATGTCAGAGTCTCTAAACTCCAGAAGAAGTCGATAAAAGTCCCTTTCTTTCTAAAAAAAAGTCGTTAGGGGGTCTGAAAAGTCATTGAATCTAACAACAAAGTCGCTAGGTTTGCAACTACGTGTCCCAGACTGCATCCCTGCTGAGAGTCCCTCCCTCCCTTCTCATGTTGCAGGAAGAACGTAAGCCCCCCCCTTGTCAATCAGTCACCATATAATTTTGGATTGGTTGTTGTGGTGAAGTTTTCCACCAATAGGAGAGATGTTGTGGTGTGTTTTTTTTTTCTTTTGGCAAGCCTTTTCCGCCTGTAAGACCTGTCGCTAATGTCTGCATGCTATGTTTTCCTGTCTCATACAGCGCGATCGAGCGCCGAACGTGATCAAAATAAGCAGAAAACAAGTATCGCGGACATAATTTATCATAACTCTGGTTTGATTTGGCCTATCAACACAATTTAAAAACTAGTATATAGGTTGAGGTCCTCACTTTTGAGATAAATTGAAACGGAGAGTCAACGAGGCTCCGTCTTGCAGCTACATCCGGTTAAATATGTCATGTGACTTGAACGCACACACACACACACACACACACACACACAGACACACACACACACGCACACACACACACTCAGAGTCTGGTTTTTAGCACCTGCAAAAACATGCTATTTACATATTTGACAAGAATGCAGAGGCTCCTTTTGCCCCTGAAAAAAATCAAATTTCAAACACAACTTGACTGGTCATTTCTCCAAAAGACAACCATGAAGCTCCATCCAAACCTGAAGCAGGCAGTTGGTGCATGTGTACAGTAACCTGAGGGGAGTGAGGTGACTGCTTCTGAGGAGAACATGAGCAGTGAAGATTCACCTTAGAGCTAGAACAGAGACGTGCACATGATTATACAGGGGCAGGGGCTCAAGTTTTTTCCAGTCGTTTATACAATATGGAAATTAATGTGAAATTAAAAAACAAAGTATTAATAGAAAGGTAATGACTGTCCTGTGTAGGTGACAGTAATATCCAATAGGCTAGGCACTCACGAGGCTGGCTGTGGCAAGTGTAAGTGAAAGCAACACGCACTGGCAGGAAGAACAGCAAACGCCGATGAAGGAAAAGGGTCTTTGCAGTGATGGGCGTTACCAGAGAGGGCGATGGCCAGAGGACACAAATGGGACGGGGAGGCAGCGCGTTGGGGGGGGGGCGCGACACAGCTCGGGCCCGCCAGTGCCCCAACGGGGTCCTAGTTAGGGCCCGAGCGTAGCTGCTAAGCAGCTGCGAGAGCCCTCTTGTTCCTGTAGTTTCCTTCTTTTGTTATTATTAGGGCCCGAGCCAGCTGCAGAGCAGCCGGGCGTAGGCCCTATTATTCCCCAAGTGGTTTTTCTTTGTTTCTTTCTTTCTTTCTTTCTTTCTTTCTTCTTTTTCCTCCCCTTTGAACTGGAAAATGGCCCACTTCCCACTGGCGAAAACTCATGAAATTTGGCAGGACGACCGGGCCTGGTGAAAAATTCGATATTCTGAAGTCGCCCAAACAATAAAATGCAAAATGGCTCCATAGCGCCCCCTAAGGTGGAAATTCACACTATTGACTGTCACGCCTGTACGCTTTGTCATATTGACACAAAAATTGACACACATATGTATCTCAATAAGATCTACAAAAAAGTCAGTGCGGCCGTATCTGTCAAATGTACGGTTAAAGGGTTATTTCGCATTTTTTGCCGATCCGCACACATTGGAATTTCGCTAACTCCTTTGAAGGCTTTCGTTCCACCGGCACCACATTTGCTCAGGCCAATCTACACCCCGTGGCCATTAAAAGTTATCAAAATCATGACGCTGCACCCCAAGGTTTAGGTTCTAGGGGGCGCCAAAGATAACACTAAAATCCACATATTTAAAAGTCTTATAACTTTTTATTTTTGTCCTCACTGGCCTCCAAGTTTTCTAGGATGATGCAATGTCCAGCCATCAACACATTTGTGAAGGAATTTTTACTCCCCAAAAGAGCGCCCCCCATGGCAGGAGAAAAAAGTCCATTTTTTCTTGTCCCCTAAGGTGAAAATACACATTGTTGAGTGTCACGCCTATACGCTTTGTCAAAATGACACAAAAATTGACACACACATGTAACTCAATAAGATCTACAAAAAAGTCAATGCGCGCGTATCTGTCAAATGTACAGTTAAAGGGTTATTCCGCATTTTTTGCCGATACGCACACATTGGAATTTCGCTAACTCCTCCGAAGGCTTTCGTTCCACTGGCACCACATTTGCTCAGGCCAATCTACACCCCATGGCCATTAAAAGTTATTCAAATCATGATGCTGCACCCCATGGTTTAGGTTCTAGGGGGCGCCAAAAATAACCCAAAAATCCACATTTTTAAATGTTTTATAACTTTTTATTTTTGTCCTCACTGGCCTCCAAGTTTTCTAGGATGATGCAATGTCCAGCCATCAACACATTTGTGAAGGAATTTTTACTCCCCAAAAGAGCGCCCCCCCATGGTAGGAGAAAAAAGTCAATTTTTTCTTGTCCCCTTACATGAAAATACACGTTGTTGAGTGTCACACCTGAACGCTTTGTCATACTGACACAAAAATTGACAATCATGTGTATCTCAATTAGATCTACGAAAAAGTCAAAGAGCGCGTATCTTTATAATGTACGGTTAAAGGGCTATTTTGCATTTTTTGCCGATTCGCACACATTGGAATGTGGCTATCTCCTCCTAAGGCTTTCGTCCCACCGATACCAAATTTGCTCAGGGCAATCTACACCCCATGTCCATTCAAAGTTGTAAAAATCATGACGCTGCACCCCACGGTTTACGTTCTAGGGGGCGCCAAAGATGACCCAAAAATCCACATTCTTAAAAGTCATTTTGGCCACTGCAGGAGTACAGAGTACTGCAGTTCTAGGGGGCGCCAAAGATGACCCAAAAATCCACATTCTTAAAAGTCTTTTTGGCCACTGCAGGAGTACAGAGTACTGCAGGATACACACACATATACACACACTCCAACACACACACACACACACACACACACACACACACACACACAGACACACACACACACACACACTCAGAGTCTGTTTTTTAGCACCTGCAAAAACATGCTGTTTACATATTTGACAAGAATGCAGAGGCTTCCTTTTGCCCCTGAAAAAAATCAAATTTCAAACACAACTTGACTGTTCATTTCTCCAAAAGACAACCATGAAGCTCCATTTCAAACCTGAAGCAGATAGTTGGTGCATGTGTACAGTAACCTGAGGGGAGTGAGGTGACTATTTCTGAGGAGAACATGAGCAGTGAAGATTCACCTTGGAGCTAGAACAGGGACGTGCACATGATTATACAGGGGCAGGGGCTCAAGTTTTTTCCAGTCGTTTATACAATATGGAAATTAATGTGAAATTAAAACACAAAGTATTAATAGAAAGGTAATGACTGTCCTGTGTAGGTGACAGTGATATCCAATAGGCTAGGCACTCACGAGGCTGGCTGTGGCAAGTGTAAGTGAAAGCAACACGCACTGGCAGGAAGAACAGCAAACGCCGATGAAGGAAAAGGGTCTTTGCAGTGATGGGCGTTAACAGAGAGGGCGATGGCCAGAGGACACAAATGGGACGGGGAGGCAGCACGTTGGGGGGGGTGGGGGGGGTGGGGGGACGCGACACGGCTCGGGCCCGCCAGTGCCCCAATGGGGTCCTAGTTATTATTATTATTATTTTTCCTCCCCTTTGAACTGGAAAATGGCCCACTTCCCACTGGCGAAAACTCATGAAATTTGGCAGGACGACCGGGCCTGGTGAAAAATTTGATATTCCGAAGTCGCCCAAACAAGAAAATGCAAAATGGCTCCATAGCGCCCCCTAAGGTGAAAATTCACACTATTGACTGTCACGCGTGTACTCTTTGTCAAAATGACACAAAAATTGACACACACATGTATCTCAATAAGATCTACAAAAAAGTCAGTGCGGGCGTATCTGTCAAATGTACGGTTAAAGGGTTATTTCGCATTTTTTGCCGATCCGCACACATTGGAATTTCGCTAACTCCTCCGAAGGCTTTCGTTCCACCGGCACCACATTTGCTCAGGCCAATCTACACCCCATGGCCATTAAAAGTTATTCAAATCATGACGCTGCACCCCACGGTTTAGGTTCTAGGGGGCGCCAAAGATAACCCTAAGATCCACATATTTAAAAGTCTTATAACTTTTTATTTTTGCCCTCACTGGCCTCCAAGTTTTCTAGGATGATGCAATGTCCAGCCATCAACACATTTGTGAAGGAATTTTTACTCCCCAAAAGAGCGCCCCCCCATGGCAGGAGAAAAAAGTCCATTTTTTCTTGTCCCCTAAGGTGAAAATACACATTGTTGAGTGTAACACCTGTACGCTTTGGCAAAATGACACAAAAATTGACACACACATGTATCTCAATAAGATCTACGAAAAAGTCAATGCGCGCGTATCTGTCAAATGTACGGTTAAAGGGTTATTCCGCATTTTTTGCCGATCCGCACACATTGGAATTTCGCTAACTCCTCCGAAGGCTTTCGTTCCACCGGCACCACATTTGCTCAGGCCAATCTACACCCCATGGCCATTAAAAGTTATTCAAATCATGACGCTGCACCCCACGGTTTAGGTTCTAGGGGGCGCCAAAGATAACCCTAAAATCCACATATTTAAAAGTCTTATAACTTTTTATTTTTGTCCTCACTGGCCTCCAAGTTTTCTAGGATGATGCAATGTCCAGCCATCAACACATTTGTGAAGGAATTTTTACTCCCCAAAAGAGCGCCCCCCCATGGCAGGAGAAAAAAGTCAATTTTTTCTTGTCCCCTAAGGTGGAAATTCACACTATTGACTGTCACGCCTGTACGCTTTATCATATTGACACAAAAATTGACACACATATGTATCTCAATAAGATCTACAAAAAAGTCAATGCGCGCGTATCTGTCAAATGTACGGTTAAAGGGCTATTTTGCATTTTTTGCCGATTCGCACACATTGGAATGTGGCTAACTCCTCCTAAGGCTTTCGTCCCACTGACACCAAATTTGCTCAGGCCAATCTACACCCCATGGCCATTCAAAGTTGTAAAAATCATGACGCTGCACCCCACGGTTTACGTTCTAGGGGGCGCCAAAGATGACCCAAAAATCCACATTCTTAAAGGAATCCACATCCCCCCCAAGGCAGGAGAAAAAGTCAAGTTAACCCTGCCCATCGCTCAATGGCTCAATCGCATCGCTCTCCAGGCAACACCGTAAGGAGGAGCAACCTGCCATTTCGATATATCATAGCTGTGTTTGTGCCCTCACTCATGGTCCAGACTTTTTTCAAATAGGACATGAAGTTTGTCTGCAGCGAGTGTTTTGGTAGAAACTGCGCCTCCCATTCATTATAATGGGAAATGACCACAGACAAGTGCGCACACCATCTTTGGACCTTGAGTGTGACGCGATCGGGAGGGGGAGGCGGTCGCGCTGGGGGCGGCGCGACGCGGCTCGGGCCCGACAGTGCCCCACCGGGGCCCTAGTTATTATTATTATTTTTCCTCCCCTTTGAACTGGAAAATGGCCCACTTCCCACTGGCGAAAACTCATGAAATTTGGCAGGACGACCGGGCCTGGTGAAAAATTTGATATTCCGAAGTCGCCCAAACAAGAAAATGCAAAATGGCTCCATAGCGCCCCCTAAGGTGAAAATTCACACTATTCACTGTCACGCCTGTACGCTTTGTCAAAATGACACAAAAATTGACACACACATGTATCTCAATAAGATCTACAAAAAAGTCAGTGTGGGCGTATCTGTCAAATGTACGTTTAAAGGGTTATTTCGCATTTTTTGCCGATCCGCACACATTGGAATTTCGCTAACTCCTCCGAAGGCTTTCGTTCCACCGGCACCACATTTGCTCAGGCCAATCTACACCCCATGGCCATTAAAAGTTATTCAAATCATGACGCTGCACCCCACGGTTTAGGTTCTAGGGGGCGCCAAAGATAACCCTAAGATCCACATATTTAAAAGTCTTATAACTTTTTATTTTTGCCCTCACTGGCCTCCAAGTTTTCTAGGATGATGCAATGTCCAGCCATCAACACATTTGTGAAGGAATTTTTACTCCCCAAAAGAGCGCCCCCCATGGCAGGAGAAAAAAGTCCATTTTTTCTTGTCCCCTAAGGTGAAAATACACATTGTTGAGTGTAACACCTGTACGCTTTGGCAAAATGACACCAAAATTGAGACACACATGTATCTCAATAAGATCTACAAAAAAGTCAATGCGCACGTATCTGTCAAATGTACGGTTAAAGGGTTATTCCGCATTTTTTGCCGATCCGCACACATTGGAATTTCGCTAACTCCTCCGAAGGCTTTCGTTCCACCGGCACCACATTTTCTCAGGCCAATCTACACCCCATGGCCATTAAAAGTTATTCAAATCATGACGCTGCACCCCACGGTTTAGGTTCTAGGGGGCGCCAAAGATAACCGTAAAATCCACATATTTAAAAGTCTTATAACTTTTTATTTTTGTCCCCACTGGCCTCCAAGTTTTCTAGGATGATGCAATGTCCAGCCATCAACACATTTGTGAAGGAATTTTTACTCGCCAAAAGAGCGCCCCCCATGGCAGGAGAAAAAAGTCCATTTTTTCTTGTCCACTAAGGTGAAAATACACATTGTTGAGTGCTACGCCTGTATGTTTTGTCGTATTGACACAAAATTTTACATACACGTGTCTTTCAATAAGATCTTCGAAAAAGTCAATGGCCACGTATCTGTAAAATGTACGGTTAAAGGGTTATTTCGCATTTTTTGCAGATTCGCACACATTGGAATTTCGCTAACTCCTCCGAAGGCTTTCGTTCCACCGGCACCACATTTGCTCAGGCCAATCTACACCCCATGGCCATTAAAAGTTATTCAAATCATGACGCTGCACCCCACGGTTTAGGTTCTAGGGGGCGCCAAAGATAACCCTAAAATCCACATATTTAAAAGTCTTATAACTTTTTATTTTTGTCCTCACTGGCCTCCATGTTTTCTAGGATGATGCAATGTCCAGCCATCAACACATTTGTGAAGGAGTTTTTTCTCGTTAAAAGAGCGCCCCCCCATGGCAGGAGAATAAAGTCAAGTTTTTCCTGTTCATCATTCAATGGCTCAAACGCACTGCTCTCTCGGCAAAAGCGAAAGGAGGAGCAACTTGCCATTTGGATATATCTTAGCTGTGTTTGTGCCCTCACTCATGGTCCAGACTTTTTTCAAATAGGACATGGACTTTTTCTGCAGCGAGCGTTTTGGTAGAAACTGCGCCTCCCGTTCATTTTAATGGTAAATGACCACAAACAAGTGCGCACACCATCTTTGGACCTTGAGTGTGACGCGATCGGGTGGGGGAGGCGGTCGTGCTGGGGGCGGCGTGACACGGCTCGGGCCCGCCAGTGCCCCAACGGGGCCCTAGTTATTATTATTTTTCCTCCGCTTTAAACTGGAAAATGGCCCACTTCCCACTGGCGAAAACTCATGAAATTTGGCAGGACGACCGGGCCTGGTGAAAAATTCGATATTTTGTAGTCGCCCAAACAATAAAATGCAAAATGGCTCCATAGCGCCCCCTAAGGTGGAAATTCACACTATTGACTGTCACGTCTGTACGTTTTGTCATATTGACACAAAAATTGACACACATATGTATCTCAATAAGATCTACAAAAAAGTCAGTGCGGGCGTATCTGTCAAATGTACGGTTAAAGGGTTATTTCGCATTTTTTGCCGATCCGCACACATTGGAATTTCGCTAACTCCTCCGAAGGCTTTCGTTCCACCGGCACCACATTTGCTCAGGCCAGTCTACACCCCATGGCCATTAAAAGTTGTACAAATCATGACGCTGCACCCCACGGTTTAGGTTCTAGGGGGCGCCAAAGATAACCCAAAAATCCACATATTTAAAAGTCTTATAACTTTTTATTTTTGTCCTCACTGGCCTCCATGTTTTCTAGGATGATGCAATGTCCAGCCATCAACACATTTGTGAAGGAGTTTTTTCTCGTTAAAAGAGCGCCCCCCCATGGCAGGAGAATAAAGTCAAGTTTTTCCTGTTCATCATTCAATGGCTCAAACGCACTGCTCTCTCGGCAAAAGCGAAAGGAGGAGCAACTTGCCATTTGGATATATCTTAGCTGTGTTTGTGCCCTCACTCATGGTCCAGACTTTTTTCAAATAGGACATGGACTTTTTCTGCAGCGAGCGTTTTGGTAGAAACTGCGCCTCCCGTTCATTTTAATGGTAAATGACCACAAACAAGTGCGCACACCATCTTTGGACCTTGAGTGTGACGCGATCGGGTGGGGGAGGCGGTCGTGCTGGGGGCGGCGTGACACGGCTCGGGCCCGCCAGTGCCCCAACGGGGCCCTAGTTATTATTATTTTTCCTCCGCTTTAAACTGGAAAATGGCCCACTTCCCACTGGCGAAAACTCATGAAATTTGGCAGGACGACCGGGCCTGGTGAAAAATTCGATATTTTGTAGTCGCCCAAACAATAAAATGCAAAATGGCTCCATAGCGCCCCCTAAGGTGGAAATTCACACTATTGACTGTCACGTCTGTACGTTTTGTCATATTGACACAAAAATTGACACACATATGTATCTCAATAAGATCTACAAAAAAGTCAGTGCGGGCGTATCTGTCAAATGTACGGTTAAAGGGTTATTTCGCATTTTTTGCCGATCCGCACACATTGGAATTTCGCTAACTCCTCCGAAGGCTTTCGTTCCACCGGCACCACATTTGCTCAGGCCAGTCTACACCCCATGGCCATTAAAAGTTGTACAAATCATGACGCTGCACCCCACGGTTTAGGTTCTAGGGGGCGCCAAAGATAACCCAAAAATCCACATTCTTAAAAGTCTTATAACTTTTTATTTTTGTCCTCACTGCCCTCCAAGTTTTCTAGGATGATGCAATGTCCAGCCATCAACACATTTGTGAAGGAATTTTTACTCCCCAAAAGAGCGCCCCCCATGGCAGGAGAAAAAAGTCAATTTTTTCTTGTCCCCTTACATGAAAATACACATTGTTGAGTGTCACGCCTGAACGCTTTGTCATATTGACACAAAAATTGACAATCATGTGTATCTCAATTAGATCTACGAAAAAGTCAAAGAGCGCGTATCTGTATAATGTACGGTTAAAGGGCTATTTCGCATTTTTTGCCGATTCGCACACATTGGAATGTGGCTATCTCCTCCTAAGGCTTTCGTCCCACTGATACCAAATTTGCTCAGGGCAATCTACACCCCATGCCCATTCAAAGTTGTAAAAATCATGACGCTGCACCCCACGGTTTACGTTCTAGGGGGCGCCAAAGATGACCCAAAAATCCACATTCTTAAAAGTCATTTTGGCCACTGCAGGAGTACAGAGTACTGCAGTTCTAGGGGGCGCCAAAGATGACCCAAAAATCCACATTCTTAAAAGTCTTTTTGGCCACTGCAGGAGTACAGAGTACTGCAGGATACACACACATATACACACACGCCAACACACACACACACACAGACACACACACACACACACTCAGAGTCTGTTTTTTAGCACCTGCAAAAACATGCTGTTTACATATTTGACAAGAATGCAGAGGCTTCCTTTTGCCCCTGAAAAAAATCAAATTTCAAACACAACTTGACTGGTCATTTCTCCAAAAGACAACCATGAAGCTCCATCCAAACCTGAAGCAGATAGTTGGTGCATGTGTACAGTAACCTGAGGGGAGTGAGGTGACTATTTCTGAGGAGAACATGAGCAGTGAAGATTCACCTTGGAGCTAGAACAGGGACGTGCACATGATTATACAGGGGCAGGGGCTCAAGTTTTTTCCAGTCATTTATACAATATGGAAATTAATGTGAAATTAAAAAACAAAGTATTAATAGAAAGGTTATGACTGTCCTGTGTAGATGACAGTGATATCCAATAGGCTAGGCACTCACGAGGCTGGCTGTGGCAAGTGTAAGTGAAAGCAACACGCACTGGCAGGAAGAACAGCAAACGCCGATGAAGGAAAGGGTCTTTGCAGTGATGGGCGTTACCAGAGAGGACGATGGCCAGAGGACGCGAATGGGACGGGGAGGCAGCGCGTTGGGGGGGGCAGCGCGACACGGCTCGGGCCCGCCAGTGCCCCAACGGGGCCCTAGTTATTATTTTTCCTCCCCTTTGAACTGGAAAATGGCCCACTTCCCACTGGCGAAAACTCATGAAATTTGGCAGGACGACCGGGCCTGGTGAAAAATTTGATATTCCGAAGTCGCCCAAACAAGAAAATGCAAAATGGCTCCATAGCGCCCCCTAAGGTGAAAATTCACACTATTCACTGTCACGCCTGTACGCTTTGTCAAAATGACACAAAAATTGACACACACATGTATCTCAATAAGATCTACAAAAAAGTCAGTGCGGGCGTATCTGTCAAATGTACGGTTAAAGGGTTATTTCGCATTTTTTGACGATCCGCACACATTGGAATTTCGCTAACTCCTCCGAAGGCTTTCGTTCCACCGGCACCACATTTGCTCAGGCCAATCTACACCCCATGGCCATTAAAAGTTATTCAAATCATGACGCTGCACCCCACGGTTTAGGTTCTAGGAGGCGCCAAAGATAACCCTAAGATCCACATATTTAAAAGTCTTATAACTTTTTATTTTTGCCCTCACTGGCCTCCAAGTTTTCTAGGATGATGCAATGTCCAGCCATCAACACATTTGTGAAGGAATTTTTACTCCCCAAAAGAGCGCCCCCCCATGGCAGGAGAAAAAAGTCCATTTTTTCTTGTCCCCTAAGGTGAAAATACACATTGTTGAGTGTAACACCTGTACGCTTTGGCAAAATGACACAAAAATTGACACACACGTGTATCTCAATAAGATCTACGAAAAAGTCAATGCGCGCGTATCTGTCAAATGTACGGTTAAAGGGTTATTCCGCATTTTTTGCCGATCCGCACACATTGGAATTTCGCTAACTCCTCCGAAGGCTTTCGTTCCACCGGCACCACATTTGCTCAGGCCAATCTACACCCCATGGCCATTAAAAGTTATTCAAATCATGACGCTGCACCCCACAGTTTAGGTTCTAGGGGGCGCCAAAGATAACCCTAAAATCCACATATTTAAAAGTCTTATAACGTTTTATTTTTGTCCCCACTGGCCTCCAAGTTTTCTAGGATGATGCAATGTCCAGCCATCAACACATTTGTGAAGGAATTTTTACTCGGCAAAAGAGCGCCCCCCCATGGCAGGAGAAAAAAGTCAATTTTTTCTTGTCCACTAAGGTGAAAATACACATTGTTGAGTGCTACGCCTGTATGTTTTGTCGTATTGACACAAAATTTTACATACACGTGTATTTCAATAAGATCTTCGAAAAAGTCAATGGCCACGTATCTGTAAAATGTACAGTTAAAGGGTTATTTCGCATTTTTTGCAGATTCGCACACATTGGAATTTCGCTAACTCCTCCGAAGGCTTTCGTTCCACCGGCACCACATTTGCTCAGGCCAATCTACACCCCATGGCCATTAAAAGTTATTCAAATCATGACGCTGCACCCCACGGTTTAGGTTCTAGGAGGCGCCAAAGATAACCCTAAGATCCACATATTTAAAAGTCTTATAACTTTTTATTTTTGCCCTCACTGGCCTCCAAGTTTTCTAGGATGATGCAATGTCCAGCCATCAACACATTTGTGAAGGAATTTTTACTCCCCAAAAGAGCGCCCCCCATGGCAGGAGAAAAAAGTCCATTTTTTCTTGTCCCCTAAGGTGAAAATACACATTGTTGAGTGTAACACCTGTACGCTTTGGCAAAATGACACAAAAATTGACACACACGTGTATCTCAATAAGATCTACGAAAAAGTCAATGCGCGCGTATCTGTCAAATGTACGGTTAAAGGGTTATTCCGCATTTTTTGCCGATCCGCACACATTGGAATTTCGCTAACTCCTCCGAAGGCTTTCGTTCCACCGGCACCGGATTTGCTCAGGCCAATCTACACCCCATGGCCATTAAAAGTTATTCAAATCATGACGCTGCACCCCACGGTTTAGGTTCTAGGGGGCGCCAAAGATAACCCTAAAATCCACATATTTAAAAGTCTTATAACTTTTTATTTTTGTCCCCACTGGCCTCCAAGTTTTCTAGGATGATGCAATGTCCAGCCATCAACACATTTGTGAAGGAATTTTTACTCGGCAAAAGAGCGCCCCCCCATGGCAGGAGAAAAAAGTCAATTTTTTCTTGTCCACTAAGGTGAAAATACACATTGTTGAGTGCTACGCCTGTATGTTTTGTCGTATTGACACAAAATTTTACATACACGTGTATTTCAATAAGATCTTCGAAAAAGTCAATGGCCACGTATCTGTAAAATGTACAGTTAAAGGGTTATTTCGCATTTTTTGCAGATTCGCACACATTGGAATTTCGCTAATTCCTCCGAAGGCTTTCGTTCCACCGGCACCACATTTGCTCAGGCCAATCTACACCCCATGGCCATTAAAAGTTATTCAAATCATGACGCTGCACCCCACGGTTTAGGTTCTAGGGGGCGCCAAATATAACCCTAAAATCCACATATTTAAAAGTCTTATAACTTTTTATTTTTGTCCTCACTGGCCTCCATGTTTTCTAGGATGATGCAATGTCCAGCCATCAACACATTTGTGAAGGAGTTTTTTCTCTTTAAAAGAGCGCCCCCCCATGGCAGGAGAATAAAGTCAAGTTTTTCCTGTTCATCATTCAATGGCTCAAATCACTGCTCTCTCGGCAAAAGCGAAAGGAGGAGCAACTTGCCATTTGGATATATCTTAGCTGTGTTTGTGCCCTCACTCATGGTCCAGACTTTTTTCAAATAGGACATGGAGTTTTTCTGCAGCGAGCGTTTTGGTAGAAACTGCGCCTCCCGTTCATTATAATGGTAAATGACCACAAACAAGTGCGCACACCATCTTTGGACCTTGAGTGTGACGCGATCGGGTGGGGGAGGCGGTCGCGCTGGGGGCGGCGTGACACGGCTCGGGCCCGCCAGTGCCCCAACGGGGCCCTAGTTAGGGCCCGAGCGTAGCTGCTAAGCAGCTGCGAGAGCCCTATTATTCCCCAAGTGGTTTTTCTTTGTTTCTTTCTTTCTTTCTTTCTTTAGGGCCCGAGCGTAGCTGCTAAGCAGCTGCGAGAGCCCTCTTGTTCCTGTAGTTTCCTTCTTTTGTTATTATTATTATTTTTCCTCCCCTTTGAACTGGAAAATGGCCCACTTCCCACTGGCGAAAACTCATGAAATTTGGCAGGACGACCGGGCCTGGTGAAAAATGTGATATTCCGAAGTCGCCCAAACAAGAAAATGCAAAATGGCTCCATAGCGCCCCCTAAGGTGAAAATTCACACTATTCACTGTCACGCCTGTACGCTTTGTCAAAATGACACAAAAATTGACACACACATGTATCTCAATAAGATCTACAAAAAAGTCAGTGCGGGCGTATCTGTCAAATGTACGGTTAAAGGGTTATTTCGCATTTTTTGCCGATCCGCACACATTGGAATTTCGCTAACTCCTCCGAAGGCTTTCGTTCCACCGGCACCACATTTGCTCAGGCCAATCTACACCCCATGGCCATTAAAAGTTATTCAAATCATGACGCTGCACCCCACGGTTTAGGTTCTAGGGGGCGCCAAAGATAACCCTAAGATCCACATATTTAAAAGTCTTATAACTTTTTATTTTTGCCCTCACTGGCCTCCAAGTTTTCTAGGATGATGCAATGTCCAGCCATCAACACATTTGTGAAGGAATTTTTACTCCCCAAAAGAGCGCCCCCCCATGGCAGGAGAAAAAAGTCCATTTTTTCTTGTCCCCTAAGGTGAAAATACACATTGTTGAGTGTAACACCTGTACGCTTTGGCAAAATGACACAAAAATTGACACACACATGTATCTCAATAAGATCTACGAAAAAGTCAATGCGCGCGTATCTGTCAAATGTACGGTTAAAGGGTTATTCCGCATTTTTTGCCGATCCGCACACATTGGAATTTCGCTAACTCCTCCGAAGGCTTTCGTTCCACCGGCACCACATTTGCTCAGGCCAATCTACACCCCATGGCCATTAAAAGTTATTCAAATCATGATGCTGCACCCCATGGTTTAGGTTCTAGGGGGCGCCAAAAATAACCCAAAAATCCACATTCTTAAATGTTTTATAACTTTTTATTTTTGTCCTCACTGGCCTCCAAGTTTTCTAGGATGATGCAATGTCCAGCCATCAACACATTTGTGAAGGAATTTTTACTCCCCAAAAGAGCGCCCCCCATGGTAGGAGAAAAAAGTCAATTTTTTCTTGTCCCCTTACATAAAAATACACATTGTTGAGTGTCACGCCTGAACGCTTTGTCAAAATGACACAAAAATTGACAATCATGTGTATCTCAATTAGATCTACGAAAAAGTCAAAGAGCGCGTATCTGTATAATGTACGGTTAAAGGGCTATTTTGCATTTTTTGCCGATTCGCACACATTGGAATGTGGCTATCTCCTCCTAAGGCTTTCGTCCCACCGATACCAAATTTGCTCAGGGCAATCTACACCCCATGCCCATTCAAAGTTGTAAAAATCATGACGCTGCACCCCACGGTTTACGTTCTAGGGGGCGCCAAAGATGACCCAAAAATCCACATTCTTAAAAGTCATTTTGGCCACTGCAGGAGTACAGAGTACTGCAGTTCTAGGGGGCGCCAAAGATGACCCAAAAATCCACATTCTTAAAAGTCTTTTTGGCCACTGCAGGAGTACAGATTACTGCAGGATACACACACATATACACACACGCCAACATACACACACACACACACACACACACACACACACACACAGACACACACACACACTCAGAGTCTGTTTTTTAGCACCTGCAAAAACATGCTATTTACATATTTGACAAGAATGCAGAGGCTCCTTTTGCCCCTGAAAAAAATCAAATTTCAAACACAACTTGACTGGTCATTTCTCCAAAAGACAACCATGAAGCTCCATCCAAACCTGAAGCAGGCAGTTGGTGCATGTGTACAGTAACCTGAGGGGAGTGAGGTGAGTGCTTCTGAGGAGAACATGAGCAGTGAAGATTCACCTTGGAGCTAGAACAGAGACATGCACATGATTATACAGGGGCAGGGGCTCAAGTTTTTTCCAGTCGTTTATACAATATGGAAATTAATGTGAAATTAAAACACAAAGTATTAATAGAAAGGTAATGACTGTCCTGTGTAGGCGACAGTGATATCGAATAGGCTAGGCACTCACGAGGCTGGCTGTGGCAAGTGTAAGTGAAAGCAACACGCACTGGCAGGAAGAACAGCAAACGCCGATGAAGGAAAAGGGTCTTTGCAGTGATGGGCGTTACCAGAGAGGGCGATGGCCAGAGGACACAAATGGGACGGGGAGGCAGCGCGTTGGGGGGGGGGGACACGGCTCGGGCCCGCCAGTGCCCCAACGGGGTCCTAGTTCTTTCTTTCTTTCTTCTTTTTCCTCCCCTTTGAACTGGAAAATGGCCCACTTCCCACTGGCGAAAACTCATGAAATTTGGCAGGACTACCGGGCCTGGTGAAAAATTTGATATTCCGAAGTCGCCCAAACAAGAAAATGCAAAATGGCTCCATAGCGCCCCCTAAGGTGAAAATTCACACTATTGACTGTCACGCCTGTACGCTTTGTCAAAATGACACAAAAATTGACACACACATGTATCTCAATAAGATCTACAAAAAAGTCAGTGCGGGCGTATCTGTCAAATGTACGGTTAAAGGGTTATTTCGCATTTTTTGCCGATCCGCACACATTGGAATTTCGCTAACTCCTCCGAAGGCTTTCGTTCCACCGGCACCACATTTGCTCAGGCCAATCTACACCCCATGGCCATTAAAAGTTATTCAAATCATGACGCTGCACCCCACGGTTTAGGTTCTAGGGGGCGCCAAAGATAACCCTAAGATCCACATATTTAAAAGTCTTATAACTTTTTATTTTTGCCCTCACTGGCCTCCAAGTTTTCTAGGATGATGCAATGTCCAGCCATCAACACATTTGTGAAGGAATTTTTACTTCCCAAAAGAGCGCCCCCCCATGGCAGGAGAAAAAAGTCCATTTTTTCTTGTCCCCTAAGGTGAAAATACACATTGTTGAGTGTAACACCTGTACGCTTTGGCAAAATGACACAAAAATTGACACACACATGTATCTCAATAAGATCTACGAAAAAGTCAATGCGCGCGTATCTGTCAAATGTACAGTTAAAGGGTTATTTCGCATTTTTTGCCGATCCGCACACATTGGAATTTCGCTAACTCCTCCGAAGGCTTTCGTTCCACCGGCACCACATTTGCTCAGGCCAAATTACACCCCATGGCCATTAAAAGTTATTCAAATCATGACGCTGCACCCCACGGTTTACGTTCTAGGGGGCGCCAAAGATAACCCAAAAATCCACATTTTTAAAAGTCTTATAACTTTTTATTTTTGTCCTCACTGGCCTCCAAGTTTTCTAGGATGATGCAATGTCCAGCCATCAACACATTTGTGAAGGAATTTTTACTCCCCAAAAGAGCGCCCCCCCATGGCAGGAGAAAAAAGTCCATTTTTTCTTGTCCCCTAAGGTGAAAATACACATTGTTGACTGTCACGCCTGTACGCTTTGGCAAAATGAAACAAAAATTGACAATCATGTGTATCTCAATTAGATCTACGAAAAAGTCAAAGAGCGCGTATCTGTATAATGTACGGTAAAAGGGCTATTTTGCATTTTTTGCCGATTCGCACACATTGGAATTTCGCTAACTCCTCCTAAGGCTTTCGTCCCACTGACACCAAATTTGCTCAGGCCAATCTACACTCCATGGCCATTCAAAGTTGTAAAAATCATGACGCTGCACCCCACGGTTTACGTTTTAGGGGGCGCCAAGATGACCCAAATATACATTACAGTAGACAAAGTAGTTTTGCCCACTGAGTGGCGCCAAAGGGACTTGTCTGTGGAGTCTGTGAGTCACTATTGGCCGTTTTTGACTACTTTAGATTTTACCTTTATATTTCCTCTTACAAAATTTTTACCTTGCCTTGCCTGGTATCATTTTTTTCAGCACAACCTCACCTGTGTCAATTTACAGTTATTTTATCATTTTGACATACTATATTTACACATTGGACCCAAATTCACACACAAAACATAAAATCCGAGTGGAAAAAAGTAACGTTTTTACTGTGAAAACCACAAATATGTGTGATGAACTGTTTTTAAAACTTAAACTTCAAATAAAAATTGTAAACTTCAAAACATATGCAAATTTTTAACAAAGAACATAGTAATTTACCTCTATTGACATCAAAATGCAGGCAATGGCCCAGGTGTTCTTTGTAAAATTATTTACAAAACACTGTATAGTCTCACAAATGTCACTTTTTATTTATGCCACTACAAAAAAACATGATGTAAATGATGCATGATGTAAAACATGATGTAAAAAACTTGTGTAGATCCTCCTCTATGTTAGTCCATGTGTAATTTTTCCATAATTCTTTGTTTTTTGCAGCATTTTTGTTAGTGTAACTGCAGATTGTGCTGACAGTGTCTATGGCAAAAAAAAAAAAAAAACTGAAAATGCCTCAACATGAACCCCTGGTGGTCTCTGAGGGTGAAACCTGCTAACTGCTGCAGCTCTGTCAGCTTCAGTCTCCCATGCAGAGCTCGGAGCGCATGTGTGGCTCTGCACCCTTAGCAGCGTTGCTAACTCCTCAGTAAGGAAAGCCTGCTTCATGTCAGAGTCTCTAAACTCCAGAAGAAGTCGATAAAAGTCACTTTCTTTCTAAAAAAAAGTCGTTAGGGGGTCTCAAAAGTCATTGAATCTAACAACAAAGTCGCTAGGTTTGCAACTACGTGTCCCAGACTGCATCCCTGCTGAGAGTCCCTCCCTCCCTTCTCATATTGCAAGAAGAACGTAAGTTCACGCCCCTTGTCAATCAGTCACCATATAATTTTGGATTGGTTGTTGTGGTGAAGTTTTCCACCAATAGGAGAGATGTTGTGGTGTGTTTTTTTTTTTCCTTTGGCAAGCCTTTTCCGTCTGTAAGACCTGTCGCTAATGTCTGCATGCTATGTTTTCCTGTCTCATACAGCGCGATCGAGCGCCGAACGTGATCAAAATAATCAGAAAACAAGTATCGTGGACATAATTTATCATAACTCTGGTTTTATTTGGCCTATCAACACAATTTAAAAACTGGTATATAGGTTGAGGTCCTCACTTTTGAGATAAATTGAAACGGAGAGTCAACGAGGCTCCGTCTTGCAGCTACATCCGGTTAAATATGTCATGTGACTTGAACGCACACACACACACACACACACACACACAGACACACGCACACACACACACTCAGAGTCTGGTTTTTAGCACCTGCAAAAACATGCTATTTACATATTTGACAAGAATGCAGAGGCTCCTTTTGCCCCTGAAAAAAATCAAATTTCAAACACAACTTGACTGGTCATTTCTCCAAAAGACAACCATGAAGCTCCATTTCAAACCTGAAGCAGGCAGTTGGTGCATGTGTACAGTAACCTGAGGGGAGTGAGGTGACTGCTTCTGAGGAGAACATGAGCAGTGAAGATTCACCTTAGAGCTAGAACAGAGACGTGCACATGATTATACAGGGGCAGGGGCTCAAGTTTTTTCCAGTTGTTTATACAATATGGAAATTAATGTGAAATTAAAAAACAAAGTATTAATAGAAAGGTAATGACTGTCCTGTGTAGGTGACAGTGATATCCAATAGGCTAGGCACTCACGAGGCTGGCTGTGGCAAGTATAAGTGAAAGCAACACGCACTGGCAGGAAGAACAGCAAACGCCGATGAAGGAAAAGGGTCTTTGCAGTGATGGGCGTTACCAGAGAGGGCGATGGCCAGAGGACACAAATGGGACGGGGAGGCAGCGCGTTGGGGGGGGGACGCGACACAGCTCGGGCCCGCCAGTGCCCCAACGGGGTCCTAGTGTTATTATTAGGGCCCGAGCCAGCTGCAGAGCAGCCGGGCGTAGGCCCTATTATTCCCCAAGTGGTTTTTCTTTGTTTCTTTCTTTCTTTCTTTCTTTCTTTCTTAGGGCCCGAGCGTAGCTGCTAAGCAGCTGCGAGAGCCCTCTTGTTCCTGTAGTTTCCTTCTTTTGTTATTATTATTATTAGGGCCCGAGCGTAGCTGCTAAGCAGCTGCGAGAGCCCTCTTGTTATTATTTTTCCTCCCCTTTGAACTGGAAAATGGCCCACTTCCCACTGGCGAAAACTCATGAAATTTGGCAGGACGACCGGGCCTGGTGAAAAATTTGATATTCCGAAGTCGCCCAAACAAGAAAATGCAAAATGGCTCCATAGCGCCCCCTAAGGTGAAAATTCACACTATTCACTGTCACGCCTGTACGCTTTGTCAAAATGACACAAAAATTGACACACACATGTATCTCAATAAGATCTACAAAAAAGTCAGTGCGGGCGTATCTGTCAAATGTACGGTTAAAGGGTTATTTCGCATTTTTTGCCGTTCCGCACACATTGGAATTTCGCTAACTCCTCCGAAGGCTTTCGTTCCACCGGCACCACATTTGCTCAGGCCAATCTACACCCCATGGCCATTAAAAGTTATTCAAATCATGACGCTGCACCCCACGGTTTAGGTTCTAGGGGGCGCCAAAGATAACCCTAAGATCCACATATTTAAAAGTCTTATAACTTTTTAGTTTTGCCCTCACTGGCCTCCAAGTTTTCTAGGATGATGCAATGTCCAGCCATCAACACATTTGTGAAGGAATTTTTACTCCCCAAAAGAGCGCCCCCCCATGGCAGGAGAAAAAAGTCGATTTTTTCTTGTCCCCTAAGGTGAAAATACACATTGTTGAGTGTAACACCTGTACGCTTTGGCAAAATGACACAAAAATTGACACACACATGTATCTCAATAAGATCTACGAAAAAGTCAATGCGCGCGTATCTGTCAAATGTACGGTTAAAGGGTTATTCCGCATTTTTTGCCGATCCGCACACATTGGAATTTCGCTAACTCCTCCGAAGGCTTTCGTTCCACCGGCACCACATTTGCTCAGGCCAATCTACACCCCA